ATATTAATAATTGTTCATACCCTTAACATACCTCAATCAGCCTGGTGACAATAGCTCTCGAAAGTGTTTGAAATACTGTGGCAAGGGTCCCGAGCTTTGGCGTGCTCTTCACTATGTGCCATGATCGTGCATTCGTCATTATAACGAGTGCGTGCAAATACAGACTCTCCTCTTGTGCAGCGATTATAGTAGGCGCACTTGCTGTGTACAGAACAAAAACGGAAACAATGAGGCATTGGCTACCATATCGAATAAATTTTGGCCCGACGTTGAACCCTAAATCCTAAATTAAGTTCCGGCGTGCGGTTCGCCATGTACCATAAGTGTGCATCCGTGCAAATAAAAGCTCTTCTCTGGTGCAGTGTATACCGGTACACGTTGTGGCTGTTTACAGGCAATTCAAATATATTCGGGACACTGGCAGCAATGGCTATTCCTCTAATTGATCATTTATATGACAAGGTTGGCAACGCTTAAGTGCTGAATTTGACCACTAAAGTTTTTCCTTGATATAAGCCATGCACGAGTGCGTTCAGATACAGACTCGCCTCTGGGTTTCAACCGTTGTTCTATCTTTAAATAAGATTTTCATACACATCCACGCCCTCGTTCGGCTCCTCATTTTTCTCGCCAAACTAAAACTTTAAGATACTCGGATGCACACTGCAGCCTGCAATACTACGCCCATGGCCGCTGTCAAACACGCGTCGGGTGAACTCTGAGGGAACGAGCGCATGGCTCAGAGCATGAACGCGCATGTGTTTATGAACACGCGTGCGTATCTAAAGTGCGCAAACAAACAAACAAACAAACAAGTTATTTCATGTTTCTAACAAACAGTACTCACAGGGCTGTGGTAGAGGTCCGTTTGACTCGCCTGGTGCAATGGATGAGCCGTCTAATTGCTGTGACCCAATGCCAGACTGCGTGGCGGCAACATCTTTCTGGGACTTCGTCTGTGACGATTTAACATCCGAACATCCGACAGTAAGATTTAGATAGGTGAGTCCGATGCATTTGGAACTGGAATATGATATCAATGCACTTGGGAGAGCCACAGACACAGTAGTTGGAACGGTACATTCTACACAGTGGTTGGAACCGTGCATTCTAATTGGAAAGCAATACCATTGTGCTCAGTTTTGCCACAGCGACAGTGATACTTAGGTCAATCAAGCCACTATAAGTCGTCATGTACTGAAGAACGTTACAGATGCATGGTTTCTTAATCTGTCTCAATCTATGTCGACTTCGAAATGATAATCGGCAATCAATGTCAATTTGCTCAAGATAGCCAAAGATAAGAGCCGCTGTCTTCGGCCGGCAATACTGTCTTTCGATTGAACAGAGTGATATATGCAAATAATAGCGTAAACATCCACCTGTAAATATGGTGAAACATGCAAAGCCTGGTGCAGACAGCTACCTTGAACTTCCCCAACGAGCCGCCTATGTGTGGCGTAGCGGTCACCCGCAGGGTGGACAGGCGAGTTAGAACAACACTCAGCAGCTCGGATACTTGGGCAATCCATCCAACCCTACGTGATTGAAAGTTTAAAGTTTAGAAATCAACATCTCAGCAGCTGGCGACTTAGAACACCTATCCCACACTGCATAATCAAAGTGAGAACTTGAAAGTGCGTTTGCGTGTGAACATTTGAGAGTATTGAATGTGATATATATATATATATCTATATATGTGTGTGTGTGTTATGTGTGTGTGTATGTATGTATATATGTATATGTACGTATATATATATGTATATATGCATATGCATATCATATGCAAGTGTGTGTGTGTGCGCGTGTGTGTATGTGTATGTATGTGTGTGTGTGTGTGTGTGTGTTTGTGTGTCTGTATATATATATATATATATATATAAGTGTGTGTGTGTGTGTGTGTGTGTGTGTGTGTGTGTGTGTGTGTGTGTGTGTACGTGTAGTAGTGTGTGTGTGTGTGTGTGTGTGTACTACGACTAGTAGTGTGTCGTCTTCGTACCTACTACTTATTCTTCCT